TCATCCAATCAGGAGACAGAGTCAGGATCTGACCCTAATTCAAACTGATTGGCGCGGCTCGATGAGTTAAGGACAGGGATGGATTTACTGGGGGATGCACCCCCTAGCCCTGGCCAGGGGGGGGTGCTATTTTTCATGATAAAGCAAAAAATTATTAGAGGCACATTAAGATACATTAATTTGAGTAATAACATGATGATAAGCGAACTGTGAACAACAATTACAATTCAAATACAGTAGTCAAGCAAGATTTTGCAGTAGTGAAGCAGGTTTATGGGTGGGCGGCACACATGGCGGACACAACTCGGCACCAGAGCTGGTAAAGCACCCCCCCCCCCACCCACCAGTTCATGCTGGATCCATCCCTGGTTAATGACAAACATGAGATTGATCATAAAGTTTGTCTCCACTATGTGTTCTTTCATGTCTTGCTGAAGTACTTGAATATCTGAATTCTTTACAGATATGATATTCATATAAGGTTTTACTCTATTATGTGTTCTTTTATGTGACAATAACTAAATTGTTTGGTGTTGAATAATGTTTGTTACACATCTAAGCAAGCCTCTTATACAGGATGTGCTTGTCTGTATCATGATTTGTTGCAGTGTATCTGTGTATGTTGTTTAAACAAATTTGCCCATGTTAATTGGTATGTTTGCCAGAATCATAATATTTTTTCACAATGTGAACATGGCATTCTTACATTCATAAGGTAATTGTGAGTGTGGTGGTCAAAATGGAAGCAATATTGTTCCACTATTCAGTTATAGCACTTTACTTTTTATAATTTATATCAATTGTATGATAAAATATCGTACGTCTGACAGTTTAACTTTTTAAAACTGCTAATAATCAACCTATTAGAATGCTGTCAATGCATTGTGACTACATTGGCATGTATTATCCTGCTTAAATAATATCATCTTCATCAAGCCAAGTAATCATTTAATCGTAGCTTGCCAACTTGAGTAAAATAGTCTAAATTGATTTAATTGTTAAATGAACAACTCAGTAGTCAGTAGATAAGACTTACATTAACTTTAACTATGTTTGAGAAAAATTCTGTCATAAAATCTTTTTTCAGATAAAGAGTAAGATACCTGGCATTTCAGAATATAAGTTCTACCAACCAAAAAGAATAAAAAGATGAAAAAACAACAATAGAAATTATAGAATATAAACTCCATTTAAACTCCACTCCTTAGCTTGGCGCCATATTGAATTTCGCGGTCGCGCTGGTAAACGGCCTGGGGACTAGGTGCTCTACCGTATCTGAAATAGCCTTCACCGTGATTGGCTAACGGCAGATAGTACGTTGGATTTCCAACGTGAGTTCTATATAAACAAAGTATTTGGAATTTCTCGTCGAAAATTTGATACTTTTTACACTGAAATCGATTGAAAACAACTAGAAATTCTGGAGGAAATATGTGCGAAAGCTGCGGATTGATAGGGATACAACCATAGATATAGGAGACCTAGATTGCTGACTCGGCTCACCCGGCGTGGCATATTTTGAAAATCCAAGATGGCGGCTCAACAGGGCAAAAATCATAGAACAACATAGGGAAAAACCATGTTTTTTGCATTTTGCGTCGTCCTACAGCTTCCGATCCCGTTCTATCACTTTATTTCGGCAAGAACTAACTGGTGTGAAGGTTTTGGATGAATATTTGGTACAATCAATACAATTTACAAATTACAATTCAAGCGGGCAAGATTGGGCAGGCCTGCAGTTTCGCGCGCTTTTCGTCTTCGGTTTTTTCCTGTTTATTCCTTCAGTCTTTTACGAGTTTTTTCTCAAGTAATGTGATATATATCTAACTATTCCAAAAGCTACTACTGTTTATTTTGTTCTTTCATTGTTATTTCGACCAAAATACAGTATTTTCATCTGAAAATTCTAGGGCTTTCTATTCTATTAAAATATCTGGGGGGTTTATCGAAAAGAATGCTTGAATGTCGGCCTGAATCGTGTTCATCGTATTAGTACAAGGCAGACGTGGGGATTTAAAAGATGGTATTCGCTTTTCCTTCCATAAGTAAGTCTATGAAACACACACATCATATATTTGTACACTATATAAAGTCTATAACTTACATCATATAAACAGAATAGTTTAATATTAATAGAATAAAAACAATTTGTTTTGTAAATACTGTAATGACAACGTCACAACAAATGTAGTTTGAGTTGCTAGCTACAATATAATACTATTTACAGTTTTAATAAAAGAATATTAGACCAAACAACTTGTTTTGATGTCTGTGTCAATCTGTGTTAGGAGTCTCTCTCTCTATATATATGCATGTTGACAACAACTGTCATAGAGGTCCTTGTCCTGTTCAAGGTCAAAAATGTTTTACTTTTGTTCACATCAGTGAACCAAAAATACATCTTTCCCTTTGCACTATTTGATTTCCTATAACCAATCCCAGCCTGCTAAAAAATGAAATGGGCAGACTGGATGCCAATCAAATATCCAGTCTTGTCAGGGTTCGCACACTTTCTCCGATTTAAAATTCCATGACTTCCCATGACTATTTTTTTCAAAATCCATGACCTGGAAGTCTGGAATTTCTGAAATTCGTTAATATTTTAATGATAACAGATATAGTAAAAGAACAAAATTCACTTCGCTCTTGCAAAAATCTGTTATATAACAGCAATTCATATTATTGTTATGACTGGTAAATTGAAAACAGCAATTCATATTATTGTTATGACTGGTAAATTGAAATAAGTAATTTTGATTTTCCAGGATTTCCAGGCCTGGATTTTGGAATATTGAAATTCCATGACTTTCCAGGACCCGTACGAACCCTGTCTTGTGTGAGAAACACTTCACACCCGATGATTATATTAACCCATCGAGTTGCAATGTGCCCTACTTTATTATTTTACTCTGTCTAACGCCAGACAATTTTACTCATCAAGGGGAGAGCAGTGGCACTTAATGGGTTAACTGGCCTATCTGCCCATGTGTCTAGTTAACCCATTGAGTCGTTTTGTGCCCTATTTTATTATTTTACTCTGTCTAACGCCAGACAATTTTACTCGTCAAGGGAAAGTGCTGATGCTTAAGTCAGCTGTCTCAAGGGGAGAGTGCCTGAAGGGGAGAGTGCTGATTGTGGAGAGCAATCAATAAAAGGCCAATCCAACTTATCCAAGAAATATCTAAACGAAGATGCCGTCCCATCTATTTTTGATTATCAATGATGAATCAATCAGGTTTCTTGGAGAGAACTAGATACTGTGAAGGTTTTTGATGCATACCAGTCAAATTAGTCAGTTTCTTCAAACTAGTTTCCATTGAAAACTTTCGCTGTCACTAGTTCTCTCTACAAACCTGATTGATTCACCACTTTTCACTGTCCAGGCCATATAGACTTGAGATCCCTTGACATCTGCAGCAGCAAGGAGGTTGTCAAAGTCACACTAAACAGAGCATCAGAATTTTCGCACCAGCAGACCAAATAAATCAAGTAAAATAGGTTTTAACTTCAAAATACTTCACAGTATTATTCCCTGTTATATATCCCAACCGAGATCCTCGAGAAAAAAAGCACCCAAAGAACCAAAACCTTTATTTTCTGTAACAAAATGTCTCGAACTGCTCAACCGACTATGTGATGATTTTCAGATAACATTTAGCGATCGATTATTTCGTCTTTATTAAACTTAAATTGTACAAATATTCATCCAAAACCTTCACACCAGTTAGTTCTTGCCAAAATAAAGTGATAGAACGGGATCGGAAGCTGTAGGACGACGCAAAATGCGAAAAACATGGTTTTTCCCTATCTCGCTCTATGATTTTTGCCCGGTTGAGCCGCCATTTTGAATGCTCATGAATGCCACGCTCGTGCGTTATAGAAAGCATTAGAGTCAGCAATCTAGGTCTCCTATATCTATGGATACAACTACCTGAAAAATACAAGGAGAACTTCGACGTTTCGAGCGAAGGCGCTTCGACTTGTGCTGTTTAGTGTTTGTATACATCGTACTTGACCTTTTATATACTGTCATACCTAACACTATACGTATACCATAAATTCTGACAGAAGAATTAAATGTAAATTTTAAAGCATAAAAATATATAATACTTATTATTGAGGAGACTATATTTATCAAGGTCAAGTACGATTTATACAAACACTAACAGTAAAGATCGAAGCGCCTTCGCTCGAAACGTCGAAGTTCTCCTTGTATTTTTCAGGTAGCTGTATCCCTATCCAACCGAACCTTTCGTACATATTTCCCCCAGAATTTTTAGTTGTTTTCAATTCGATTTCAGTGTAAAATGTATCAAATTTTCGACGCGAAATTCTAAATACTTTATTTATATTTTGCAACATTGCCGAGCATGCGTAGAGCTCACGTTGGAAATTCAACGTGAATCAATTCGATTTCTCCAGAGCTATGCCCACCCTTAACCTGCAAACGGGCATGCTTGGGGAACGAGATTGTCCTGCTTCAGGTATTGGTGGGTCGTTGGGAACATCACAAATTGATGTGTGGTGTCGTCTTTTACAATACTTGCAAGTGCTGGTACTTCTGCAATCTGATGCTCGATGAGATGGACCGGTGCATTTGAAACAAAGCTTCTTTCTCGCCAGGATTTTTCTGCGTTCTCCAACAGTTGTGACCGATTTGCATTCCGACGACCGATGCTCTTCTTTGTCACAATACACACAAGCCTTTCGGGTTCCGGGTTGAGCACCACCTTTTTGCTGGGTGTGAAAACATCCTCGGGGCTGTTCTCGTTTCTTCTGCGTGTCATCATGCTTGGGACTGTCAAGTGGATTCCTCCTGGCCCAGAATTGCAAAGCTTCAGTTAGTTGAACGTATGTCCAATCTTCCCATTTAGTATCGTTACGGGCAAGATCTCCCCTGATCGCAGGTAGCTTTTCCAAGGTCATGGAAACAGTGCCATTCACGTACTGCGTCTAGCTTCTTCAATGTTTCGAGTGACTGCACACAATATGCCAATTTATCATGAAACTCATGGATTTTCTTCACATTTGCAGTCGGTATATGGGGCAATTCCATAATTTCCTTGACAAAGCATTTGATTATTTCACATTCCTTCCCGAATCGGTCTTTCAATATAGGAGTAGCTCGGTTATAGCCCTCAGCGGTATGGGGCGAAGCTTCGATTGTCTTTCTTGCTTTCTCACACAATAATTCCTTTAAGTAAGAAAATTTACTCACAGCCGGTATACTTGATTTATGAATAGTTTCCGAGTACAAGTTCCAAAGTCTTGGCCAATCTTTGTAACTTGCGTTGAATTCCGAAATTTGAAGCTTAGGCAATTTCGCTTGTAATTTGCTGACTTCGTCCTCTTCCTTCCCGGATGTTGGTTTAACAGACACTTCCGCTTCCGCTTGCATTTTAATTTTCGCCTCGTGTAATATAAGCTCAAATTCGATTCGTTTTTTTTGCTTTTATTTTTCCCGTTCAGCTTTTTGCTCTTGTTGAATCTCTTCTAACCTTGATTCCTTTGTTTTAAGCCATTCTTGCAACTTTTCAATCGCTTCGTCACCGCTTTCCATGACGCTTTCGATTTCGCTATTCCATTCGTCAATTTCATCGTCGTTTACACCATCAGAGATTTTTGTCGCTTCGATTTCCCGTCTCAATTTATTTACTTCGGACAGAGTTTCTTTAATAGTATCCACATGTCTAACGATTGCTTGTTCTTTTCCATTGTTTACTATAGTTTCGGTCTTCCCAATCGCTCGTTTCAGTTGCGTTATCTTCGTCTCGAGTGCCGTAACTTCGAGTTTAGGCGGCATGTTGTTTACTCTAAACCTTCGCTTATATTATTCTAATTTAAAGGTTTTACTCACATATTCTGGGCTTCAACGTCGCATCGGGGGTGCCAGGTGTTGGGAATTTTGCTTTAAGTATCACCACAACTAATCACTAGTTGTATTTTTTATATATAATATCTCAAATCACTCTCGTATCACATTTTTTACAATGGTTTTGCAGTCAAAGTCTCACACAAAAATTCCTGTTTTAAAGGAAACTATATCTCACGCTATCGCGCGTGGAGTTCACGTGTGCTATTACTATTTTAACTATAGACTGAGGTAAAGTCTCCGACAACCTTTCCCATCTTCTTTCTCATAACTATACATCTTAGACCGCAATCCAATAAATTCTCTTATAGGTACTCCACCAGCCTCATCTTTCATTTTCCAGATAACTTTCTTATTAGTTGCATCATAGAACGGAGAATCTTTACTATAACCACTAGTATCAAACTTGCAGGCAAATTTCATCGCATCTTAATAGGCATCAGGAGTATGTTACCTATACATTAAACTATCTAGCCAGCGTGGCCGGCTCTTTTATAAGTAGAGCCTGCCCGAAAGCCCTAGTCAAATTGATGCCGCCCACTTAGTTAATATTCCATATTAACACCGCCCACTCGAAATAGTTTTGTATAAATTGATGACTTAAAATTTTAATTGTTGCATATTTACTATAGCCTGCGCTACATGCTTTCAATAAACTTTTTACAATAGATGGATAGCGATTCAACTGCTTGGAAATACAAGCAAAACGTCGGCATTTCGAGCGAAGGCCCTTCGACTTTGTCTGGAAATTAGTAGTAGACGAAGACCGTTCAAAATTATATTATGCTTTGCACCTGTATGGCTGTACTACAGTTATAAATATTGCAGTATTAAATATAATGACTTAGGAAAAGTTTAAATAGACCCCTTCCCGTGTTATACTCGTTGGCAGACAAATGTATTTTAAAAGCTCCAAAGAGAGCTTCGTATTATTATGGTGTATTAAACACAATGGGGAATGTATTGTTTTATATAATCGTAATTTGCCAGCCAGCAAAATATAAACAAGGCAAGGACAGCCAAGGTTTTATACTCTATATACTATAGTGACCATACGGTAAAATCATACGACATATGCAGTAATAGCAGTATGGCTTGCCGTATTCTGTTTAGATACCGGTATATGTTATACATTTTACACTTTGTCTTTTGAATTTTATATTTTAGCCGACAGATTTACACTTTAATATAGCGATGCCGTTTGTTTTTACTGTATTTATTTTTAAATATTTGAATAAATCAGCGTAACATGTCAATCAACCTGTCGTCAACGTAAATTGAGCCAATCACAATTCTCGGCGGCTGGCTGCCGAGAGTCATCAATTTGACTAGGGCTTTCGGGCAGGCTCTCCTTCAATAGAGCCGGCCACGTTGGCTACAAACTATCTGTATCAGTGAAAAGTAACTTTGCTCTATTCCCATACAATTTCCTTATATAATTATAGTAGAAGTCATACATCAGCGTCTTCGATATGTCAAGTATACTCATTCCAATGTAAGCGGGTTTATTGAATAGTAACATACTCTTTTGAACCCATAACCACAAGTCTCATGGCTCTGTATTTTACGTAAACATCCCTAATTCTTCTCACCAATAGGGATCAACAACGATTCAAAGTCAGCGTATATCACAAACTGAGCAGGCAACTGTCTCCTTTGATCCTTGAACACCACTTTACTACCTCTCTTTGGCATCATAGTTTTCTACGTTCCATTTACCTCCCTACAGGTCCCACTGTGTTCATCTAAACGTTCCTGTGAATTGAACCCATTAAGACAACTAAGACAGTAATATTTCTTGTGCTGCGTCTTATGTAAACTACTAAGTAACATACTAATATCCCTTATCAAGACATCTTGTGTATTTCCATGATCGTCCTCTATCAGCAGCAACTCCATATGACCTGATAGTCAGCCTTTGAAGTATGCAGAATAATATTTTGGGCTCACTTTTTTCGAATTTGCCTTGTAACCAAGCCTGATCCAAGATGGCGGCCATCAGTTGCTAAGCAACTTACCTTCATTTTTACCGCAAGAAATTCGTCGACGGAAATACCACTTCGATAATTTCGGTAAAACGCATTTTGGACTGAATTTAAAGAGACAAGCAATAAGATAAGACATCGAAAAGGCAAAAGCGAATATTTTAACCGAAGAACCGACTCAATTGATGTTTCAGGTACTGCGCTAGTACGTTTAATAGTTCTGGCTCATGAGTCAACAAGTTTTATATACAACTGATATACACTATAAAATATTAAAATCGCATGACATTGAATATTTGTGAAATTTCTCGATATTTTTATCGTTTTTTTTTTCATTTACATTTTGTGGTTTTTCTATTATTTCTATACACAGTGTTCTACTGTTCAAGGGTGTATACATTTATCAATGATAAAATCAATTTTAACCAATAAATATGGCAGATTGTTTTTTCCACACAGCTAGGGGCCTAGGGCCTAGGGGTAATTGATGACTTTGGAAGCCCAAAGGGAAGTAGTGACTCAGAGGTAGTGACTCAATCAAGTGTAGAAAGTCTGCCGTGCAAAGTAACACAAATATTGAGTCGGGAACTTCATGTCATAATTAAGTTCTTAATTTGTTGGTTTGCATGTTGATAAATAATAATATATTAAATTGTTTTGTTTACAGAAACACTTTGCGGAGCTTTTGACTGTAAATATATTATATTTTCACTGATGAGCATCCAAGCTTGTGGATTGCAAAGTAAATCATTTGACTTTGTGGTGTTTCCACAAACAAAACAATTATGTCAACTCATTCATGTCAACAAAATATTTTGTACATAAAATTCCCTACACCATATTAGGGAGGGGGGATCAAATGCTTATGCCGCTCCATAATGAATTTTACTTATGCCAAATATCATACGCACCTCTTGATAACATGATCAATGGCAAATTGCTAAATCCATGCCAACAGGGGAAGGGGTGGTCACCCCCAAATTGATTGGTGCATTTTAAAAGTTCACTATAATTACTGTATTTTAAAACCATAATGGCAGATTAAAGCTATATAAACGAGGTATCATATTTTATAATGGCAGATTGCATCCATCCAAGAACCCCCATCCCTGGAATTTCTAAATAACACAAAATCCCCTTTCCTGTAAATGCTAAAATTACTGGATTCCCTTTTGACACACAACCCCTAGGTTTGAACTTAATTTAACCCAAAATCCCTCCCCCCCCCCTTTCCTGGAATTTCCAAAGTCCTCAAACCCCTTATGTAGAAAAAACAATCTGCCATATTTACAACCTCGTTCCCAGGGTTTTCACGTGAGGACGAGGGGAGAGACGAGAAAGCCCAGGTCTGGGCCGGTCACGTGACTACCCAAAAAAATGGCAGTATTTGACAGCTACACATCAAGGAGTGGCAAGATATTCTTTAATGAAATATACAAGTCTTCGAAACAAATAAACACCCAAAACGCTTCTCAATCGATATTATTTATGTGTATACAAATACAAATGATTATTAATTGTTATTGTCAACTGTCAAGTTCAGTTATTTTTAGACAATATGGTGTTAGCCAATCAGAATGCAAATTAAAAAACAAAATGTAATTGCAAGAAACGATCAAAATGTATGTCAATATCATGCGATTTTTATAGTGTATATCAGTTATATATAAAACTTGTTGACTCATGAGCCAGTACTATTAAACGTACTAGCGCAGTACCTGAAACATCAATTGAGTCGTTTCTTCGATTAAAATATTCCCTTTTGTTTTTTCGATGTCTTATGTTATTGTTTGTCTCTTTAAATTTAGTTCAAAATACGGTTTACCGAATTATCGAAGTGATATTTTCTTCGAATTTCTTGCGGTAAAAATGACGGTAAGTGGCTTAGCAACTGATGACCCCCATCTTGGATCAGGCTTGGTTACAAGGCAAATTCGAAAAAGTGAGCCCAAAATATTGTTCTGCTTAAAGTATACCTTGGAAAGAACATCTTTTCTCCCTTCAGCATGATCACTGTGATTCTAATCTTATTTGCCTTCTCAATTTTAGGTATATCGTCAATCTTTACAGGGAAACTCACACCTTTATAATCAAGTGTCTCAGCAAATTTTCTATCAGGTCTGGTAATCTTATTTGCCTTTTGATTTTTTGGCACCAAATGTCTCACATGACACCATCTAAAGCACTCGATATCGTCCCTGTTCTCAATGTTGATTAGACCGTTCTTATCAGATCGCAGAGGGGCGAGCAACTCAATGAAAGAACTGTCTTCCAAAGGATTGAAGTGCACAACATCCAACTAATGATCTTCCACCATAATTACCCTCCAATTACTACCGCGCTTCCAGTAAGATTCAATTTTGCCCACAATCCTCTCAGCACTAAGTATCACCACATCTTCAACTTCATTGACACTCATCACAGTTATCGTTTCACTTGTCATCGGAAGGTCAACAGCACCGCCCTCACTAACAAGACCCCTTACCATCTTCAACACAAGAGTCTCAGTCTCTCAGTTCTTGGTCGAGAACGGACTTAGGCAGATTGACCACAATTTCACGACTCACACCAAGTTGCTTGTCAAAGTCAGGTTGGCTTATACCCAAAGAGAACTTCTCAACTGTTCCCTCATCACTTTCTCCAGTCTTAGTATATGTTATAGTCTTATGCAGTGCTGGAGTAGCTCCTCCACCTATTACTTCAAACCCTTCTTCGCCAACCCTGATTGGGGTAATATTTCTTTTCAACTTCCTGTTATCATTCCTGAGTACACCCTCATTTCCAACATCATCTTAGTGTATTCTTTCATCATCTCCTCAGGATTCCTCGTGGTTTGGTTTTCCAATTTCGCTATATATTAGGATCTGTTTAAATGTTTAAGTACTCCCTTTTCATTAGTTGGATAAATATCCTTCAACCACTCCCTAGGCTCACACACAAGCGCGCTACACACTCTCACTGTACGAAACCTAATACCTGGACAGCATTTCAAGTTCTCGCTAAACATCAATCTGCGAATGGCCACAATCACATTCACAACCCTCTCAAGATCATCATTGTACGCATACTTCCTAACACTATATCTTATGGTAGAAGGGTAGATCATCCTAATTTTCTTCTCAGACAACTCATACTTACCTGCCTCTATCTTATAGATCTTACTGCCTATCTTCACGTCATTCTTAAGGAACACACAACTGTTTCCGTTACAGTAACTTCTGGAATACATTATTTCTTCTGTACTATACATGATATTTAACTTAAATCATAGACGGTCTCCAGATCATCTATTAAGTAGATTTAAGCACATCATAGATCATCTATCAAGTAAACCATAGACATCTATCACGTAAGTCATAGATCATCATCTATCAAGCAGATTTAAGCAAACCTAAGTCACCTCACAAGGTATCTCACAAGTAGATCTCAGTTATCTCACAAGCAAATTTAAGACATCTCAATAGATATCTTACAAGCAAATTTAAGGTATCTTACAAGTAGATCCCAGTTATTTAACAAGCAAATTCCAGACATCTTACAAGTAAACTCTAAGGTATCTGTCAAGTAAACTCCAAGTAGATGCAGTGTATCTCACAAGTAGAATCCAAGTAAAAGTTAAGTAGATTCCAAGGAAACTCAACAAAATAGCCATCATCTCTCCTCTCAACAGAAGCCCCATGTCTTCCCTTCCTTAGACGCCTCACACTAATTCCATCCAAATGTTCATAATCAGCGGTTTTCTTCATGTAGAGTAGCGATAAGATTAAATCCTTAATTCGCGTACGCGAATTTATTTTATTTTAATTTAATTTAATTTAATTTAATTTAATTTTAATTTATTTTAATTTAATTTAATCAAAAATTGATATAATTTGGAATGCTGTTCTGAGTCCTTGATTGATTGATTGATGATTGTGAGGTTGATTGTTGGGTGCTGTGTGAGGTATCTGTGATGATTGATATTGTACGTTGATATTGGGCTATCTAAATCCCTCACTCAGATGGTTTCCTGGTGAAGTTGGATGTGCGGTTCCTCTTATGATTTTGTTAGTGTGGACTCTTTCTGATTGAAGATGTTGTTGTTGTTGAGAGGGTTTAATGAGTTGACCCCGACGACTGTGGTGTTATAAGGAGATTGTAAATTGCTGCTCCTTGAGTGTTTCCTGTTCATGTTCTAGATCTGGTGTGGATGTTTCATGTTGTGTGAACTCTATCCGATTGAATATATTGTTATATAGTGGAAGGGATCTGATGAGTTTACCCTGATGACTGTGGTATAGTAGAGGGAAAGATTATCTGGGTTCTATTAGATGGAGGATTCTGTTTTAATCTTATCGTTATTCTGTGTGGGGCTGATAATGTTGTACATGGAGAAAACCGCTGATTATGAACATTTGGATGGAATTGGTGTGAGGCGTTTATGGGAGGGTAGACATGGGGCTTCTGTTGAGAGGAGAGATGATGGCTATTTTGTTGAGTTTACTTGAATCTACTTAACTTTTACTTGGATTCTACTTGTGAGATACCCTGGATCTACCTGGAGTTTACTTGACAGATACCTTAGAGTTTACTTGTAAGATGTCTGGAATTTGCTTGTTAGATAACTGGGATCTACCTGTAAGATACCTTAAAATTGCTTGTAAGATATCTATTGAGATGTCTTAAATTTGCTTGTGAGATAACTGAGATCTACTTGTGAGATACCTTGTGAGGTGACTTAGGTTTGCTTAAATCTGCTTGATAGATGATGATCTATGACTTACGTGATAGATGTCTATGGTTTACTTGATAGATGATCTATGATGTGCTTAAATCTACTTAATAGATGATCTGGAGACCGTCTATGATTTAAGTTAAATATCATGTATAGTATAGAAGAAATAATGTATTCCAGAAGTTACTGTAACGGAAACAGTTGTGTGTTCCTTACGAATGACGTGAAGATAGGCAGTAAGATCTATAAGATAGAGGCAGGTAAGTATGAGTTGTCTAAGAAGAAAATTAGGATGATCTACCCTTCTACCATAAGATATAGTGTTAGGAAGTATGTGTACAATGATGATCTTGAGAGGGTTGTGAATGTGATTGTGGCCATTCGCAGATTTATGTTTAGCGAGAACTTGAAATGCTGCCCAGGTATTAGGTTTCTTACAGTGAGAGTGTGTAGCGTGCTTGGGTGTGAGCCTATTGAGTGGTTGAGGGATATTTATCCAACTAATGAAAAGGCAAAGCATCAGTTTCTGTTTTACGGTATAATTGTCCCTACCCTGTCAATAGATGTTAGCGGTTGTATTTACTATAAGAAGTGGGATAAGGATGTGAGGTTGTGGTGTGGACGTAAGTATAACATTTGTATTGGTTATGAATGGAAAAGTTGGGATGATCGTTGGACTGAGTTCTGGTGGAAGGAGAACAATGAATTGAACAATGGGTTTGGGAAATGCGGTAGGGGAAGATAAATTGTGCGGTCATTTGCGGTAGATTGAGTTTAAAATATTGTGTATACGCTGTTGTTGGCAGTTATAGTATTACCTATGGTATAGTAGACATGAAGGGTTGGAAAGAGTGTGAATTTAAGAATCTGCTTGGTATGTACCATAAAGGTAAAGAATATGATAGACTACTTGATTGCCTTGTGATGATAGCTGGGGTTGTTGATGAGATGGATGGTGTTAAGATACCCTTGACTAAGATCATGATTGTGAGAATTTGCAGTATGCTTGGGATTGAGGTAAGGATTGCTGATGCTTCTTTGTGGGAACCTAGTGAGTGCAAGTATTATAGGAGGTGGTTAATCAGGAATTTAGGGGAAAGAAAGGCGTTCGAGAGCATGAATTTGGAAGAGAAGACAGAAAGATATTCTGGAAGGGTAAATTAGCCGTTTTTTCTTGAAATACTGTTTCAGAGAAAGAAAATGGTACTGTGAAGTGTCTGTGGTGTATTAAACATGTACTGAGAAGGGTAACTGAGTAAAAAGGTACTTAAACATTTAAACATATCCTAATATATAGAGAAAAATGGAAAACCAAACCACGAGGAATCCTGAGGAGATGATGAAAGAATACACTAAGATGATGTTGGAAATGAAAGCTCGAATGGACGCTATGGAGGCAAAAACAAGTGCTCTTGAGAAGGACAACAAGGAATAAAAAGAAGGACGCCGATAATGAGAAAAAGCTTAAGGCCCTTGAGAAGGACAACAGGAAGCTGAAAAAGGAGAGTGCCGCCAATAAGGGTGCTATTGGGTGTACTCAGGAATGATAAGAGGAAGTTGAAAAGAAATATTACCGCAATGAGGGTTGGCGAAGAAGGGATTGAAGTAATAGGTGGAGGAGCTACTCCAGCACTGCATAAGACTATAACATATACTAAGACTGGAGAAAGTGATGAGGGAACAGCTGAGAAGTTCTCTTTGGGTATAAGCCAACCTGACTTTGACAAGCAACTTGATGTGAGTCGTGAAATTGTGGCCTATCTGTTTAAGTCCGTTCTCGACCAACCAATTAAGTTTACTGAGACTCTTGTGTTGAAGATGGTAAGGGGTCTTGTTAGTGAGGGCCGTGCTGTTGACCTTCCGATGACAAGTGAAGCGATAACTGTGATGAGTGTCAATGAAGTTGAAGATGCGGTGAGACTTAGTGCTGAGAGGATTGTGGGCAAAATTGAATCTTACCAGGAGCGCGGTAGTAATTGGAGGGTAATTATGGTGGAAGGTCATGAGTTGGATGTTGTGCACTTCAATCCTTTGGAAGGCATTTCTTTCATTGAGTTGCCAGCCCCTCTGCGATCTGATAAGAACGGTCTAATCAACATTGAGAACAGGGACGATAACGAGTGCTTTAGATGGTGCCAAAAAATCAGAAGGCGAATAAGATTACCAGACCTGATAGAAAATTTGCTGAGACACTTGATTATAAAGGTGCGAGTTTCCCTGTAAAGATTGACGATATACCTAAAATCGAGAAGGCAAATAAGATTAGAATCACAGTGATCATGCTGAGGGGAGAAAAGATGTTCTTTCCAAGGTATACTTCAAAGGCTGACTATGAGGATCATATGTAGTTGCTGCTGACAGAGGACGATGATGGAAATACTCACTATGTCTTGATAAGGGATATTATAGTGTGTTACTTAGTAGTTTACATAAGACGGAGCACAAGAAATATTACTGTCTTGGTTGTCTTAATGGGTTCAATTCACAGGAACGTTTAGATGAACACAGTGGGACCTGTAGGGAGGTAAATGGAACGCAGAAAACTATGATGCCAAAGATAGGTAGTAAAGTGGTGTTCAAGGATCAAAGGAGACCGTTGCCTGCTCAGTTTGTGATATACGCTGACTTTGAATCGTTGTTGATCCCTGTAGATGAGAAGAAGGGATGTTTACGTAAAATACAGAGCCATGAGACTTGTGGTTATGGGTTCAAAAGAGTATGTTACTACGATAGTAAGTATGACGGCGAATATAAGGGTTATAGTGGAGTTGGCGCTGTAAGGAAATTCTTGGCTGACTTATTAGCTGAAGTTGAAAAGTGTAATCAGATTATAAAGGATGATTTCAATAAGAAGGTTGACATGACTGTGAAAGATTTTGATGACTATGAGAGGGCAGTTGAGTGTCACACCTGTAATGGAAAGTTCACTAAGGATAATAAGAAGGTCCTTGTCATTGTCATATAACGGGTAAGTTTAGGGGTGCCGCTCATAATTCCTGTAACTTGAACTTTAAGTTGCTGACTGGTAAGATTCCCGTTGTGTTCACAATTTGAGAGGATATGATAGTCACTTCATTATGCAAGGTGTGGCTGAACTTGGTGAGAGAATTGAGGTGATCGCTAATAATATGCAAAAGTACATGTCCTTCAGAGTGGGGAAGCAACTGGTTTTCATTGACTCGATGCAGATTATTCGCAGTAATTTGGAACGTCTTGTTGGTAATCTTAATAAAGGCCGTTTTCTGAGAATGCAAGGTGGATGGCAAGGAGAGGAGCTTGAGATGCTACTTAAGAAGGGAGTCTATCCTTACGAGTATATGGACAGTTGGGAGAGATTCGATGAGAAGCGTTTGCCTGGGCGATCTGCGTCCTACAGTTCGTTGTACGAGGAAGGGGTCAACGAACAGAACTATTTAAGGGCAAAGAGGGTGTATAGGCGGTTTAACTGTGAGAATTTGGGAGACTATCATGACCTGTATCTGAAAACTGATGTTACTGTTAGCAGACGTTTTTGAGGACTTTAGAAGAGTATGTCTAGAGAACTATAAGTTGGATCCTGCTCATTACATATCCGCACCCGGTCTTAGTTTGGATGCTATGTTGAAAAGGACTGGTGTGAAATTGGACTTGCTCTCTAATGTTAACATGTATCAGTTCATTGAGAAGGGAATGAGGGGTGGGACAAGTTATATTGGTCATAGATATGCTAGGGCTAATAATAAGTATATGAGTGACCATGATTCGGGGAAGCCTAGTAGTTATATCATGTATTACGATGCAAATAACCTCTATGGATGTGCGATGAGTGAGGAGTTACCGTATGGTAAATTCAAGTGGGTCAGTGTTGGTAAATTAAATCTTGACAAGTATGGTAAAGACAAAGAGAAAGGTCTGATATTGGAAGTCGATCTTAAATATCCGAGTGAACTTGATAAGGGCCATAGTGATTACCATCTAGCTCCCGAGAAAATGGAAATTACTGAGGACATGTTAAGTGGATATGCAAGGGGTATTAGAAAGGCGCGCGGTAGTAAGTCAGCTGGCGTGAAAAAGTTGGTGACTACATTGAATAGGAAAAAGTCCTATGTCTGTCATGTAGATAATCTGAAACTGTATATGAAGTTGGGAATGAAGCTGGTTAAAATTAGTAGAGCACTTGAGTTTTCCCATTCGAAGTGGCTCAAGGAGTACATTCAATTTAACACTGATATGAGAACTGTGGCTAAGAACGATTTTGAGAAGAACTTCCTCAAGCTGATGAATAACTCTGTATTTCGAAAGACTATGGAGAATCTTAGGAAACGGGTTGATGTAAAGTTAATGGTAGATATAGATGGTGATAAGTTGAAGAAGATGTTGCATCACCAAGTTTCGTTAGGGCTAAAGTACTGAGTGGCGGATTTGGTTGCAGTTAAGAAGGTAAAAGCGGTGTTACTTCTGAATAAGCCCGTTTACATTGGAATGAGTATACTTGACATATCGAAGACACTCATGTATGACTTCCACTATAATTATATAAGGAAATTGTATGGGAATAGAGCAAAGTTACTTTTCACTGGTACAGATAGTTTGATGTATAGGTAACATACTCCTGATGCCTATAAAGATGCGATGAAATTTGCCTGCAAGTTTGATACTACTGGTTATAGTAAAGATTCTCCGTTCTATGATGCAACTAATAAGAAAGTTATAGGGAAAATGAAAGATGTGGCTGATGGAGTACCTATAAGAGAATTTATTGGATTGCGGTCTAAGATGTATAGTTATGAGAAAGATGTATAGTTATGATGTTTTGATATATTAAATAGACATGCGGTAAAGGTTGTTATTATCGAATATGTTTTAACGTTAAATGGCGACAAAAGTATGTTTGCCAAATATGAAAAAGTTAACATTATTTACAAATATTTTAAAAATTCTCTTGGGAACTCTCTTGTTTTCTAATTAGATCTAATTGAATGACGTCACAACCGGGCTAGACACTTAAAAATTAAAATATAATAAAAATGATAAAACGAACCTTTTGTTTTAATTGAAACAATAGTAGATAATTACTGTATTTAAGTTTAACATTTGAGGGCAACGGTGGAAACAAATGTTCGTGGCAGAAGTTTTATTTCACTTCGTAACCCAAGTTGTGATGTCATGCACAAAAACTGCAATGAATTAGGTCGAAAATAGAGTGAAACACAGAATATCTCTTGTCAAAGTATTTCTAAAATTAATTGAGGTTTTTTCCAATAAGAATATCTTAATTTTTCATGCCATTTTTCTTTAGGTGCGCAGTTTAACAAGTCCAGGTTTTCAACAACTTGTGGTAAGCAGGATACTTCTCGGCAACACGTTGACTTTGATCCAGCTCTTTGCAGCCTGGTAAGTTTCTTCCAAATTTTATGTCTTTGTATGACTTTCTTCTTTCACGAGCAGGTATATATAACATAATCTCGCTTTACTAGTTTCTGGTAAGTGGAATCATCCGTTGTGTTTCTGCCGTTCTGATCAAGCTCATTGTAACCAGAAATTTCCTGCGACATTTTGGATTCTTCATAAGTTTCATTTTCTTCCGGAGTTTCATTTTCTTCCGGAGTTTCATATTCTGACTGTACTTCAACCCCTTCGTAATTTGATATCTTGTCTGTAGAAACAAAACATTACAAAGCCATTATCAAACAAGCGTGTAAGTTCAGGAGAACTGCCAACGAGAGTCTGCAGTGAAAACAAGAACTGCATGACAGTTCACACGATATTTTAGCACGTAGCGGGAACTCTCATCAAATTCCATTGCAATTTGCGTCAGCTGAACCTTTTATGAAAGTTGAATGGATTTTGCCAAGCGTAGACAAAACCCTCATAAACTCATCTTAAAACGTAAACCAGCCCAAAGTCGGCAGTCAGCCCCAAACGTTTATGAGAGTGAATAACTGTTGAGAACAACAAACCATCGTTCACCCTTCAACATAGCTGAAGGCCGGCAAAAATGTCCCTAATATCGGCTAGTCAGATGACAAACACTTCCTTCCAAAAACAAAACAAACCCTTCAACATAGCTGAAGGCCTGCAAAATATCCCTAGTATCGGCTAAACAGATGACACCCAGAATTGTTCGGTGTTTTGATAGGATAGTTCATGAGATATTAAATTTTTCTTGTTTTTTTTTAAGAATAATAATGGTAAAGTAATAAACTATTTGCCAACTTATACATCTAAAGACGTTATTTTATGAGCGGTATGCTTGCATAATACTTCATTTTTATAGCACGGCCCATGTAGGAAGTAAGTGAATCTTTACTACACATACTCTTGCTATTTTCTTAATTTTAATGCGTAATTTGAAAACAAGGCACTAGAGTTGTTTTAATAAATTATCCTGCAAAAGAATTAATGCGTTTTTGTAGAAAACAATGCATGGGATTGTAGAATGGATCAGCCGATCCCAGGACCATTCTCGCTGACCTTCGGCCGTGGTAACAAAATCCCCTGGGAACAAGGTTTTGAAAACAATTACCAAAATTAGTTTATTTTCAACCATGACATATTACTTTTTCCTTGAGATAAGCAAATTATACTACGCACATAAAGGTTAGTGGAATTTTAAACATATCACTGACCTTGAGCTGATGTGCCTTCAGATTTGTTTGCATTTGTAGCCACGTCATCGTAAAACTCTAGATTAACACTTGCGGCAGTTTCGTAACCTGGCTCCTGTTATTAATAAGAATGATTACGATTTATTTAATAACGATTACAGTTTTTGCCCAATTCACTCATGACACACGTGTTTGACTACTACAGGCTAAGAGTTGTCTTATACAAAGGAGCAAAACTGGAAAAATTGGATGAAAATCCTCGAAGTTTTAGTGCAAACTAAAGTATAGCTTTGCACAATAATTATACTAGATAGCTTTACCAGTTTTAATTGTTTTCTTTGGAGGCTTGGTGACGCTGATCTGCTATTCGTACAGTGTTACCACTGAATGAAAAGTAAAATAAACTAACTTTATTTATACTGGGTAGCTCTAGCAGTTCGAAACTGTTCTTCCTAGTGGTCTAATAACAGTCACTTCTTATTGATCCAGTGGTGGAACACATACGCGTACAAGAAAGAAAAAAATGAGGGCGGTAGTAGAAAAACATTTGGCGGACTTTGTTTCATTTTGTTCGACTTATCAATCCCTAGGGGAGAGGGTTCTCGAAGAGTTTAAAATAAATTTAGTCTACATTCAATATTTCTTTCATTTTCGACTATATCATGCATATCTGTTGCTTTTCGATTTATTTGCCCCATATTTTGGCCAAGTTTACGTTTAAAAATTGCCAACTTTATTTTTCTGTGGCAGAAACGCCCGTCCACCGCTAGCGTACGGATTTATTAAATCAAAAATAAATCTAAACTAAATTAGCGCTACACTTCTGAACTGTTCTTTTTAGATGTCCATTTGTATAGTGACCATTTACTGTGTCGCCATATCCATCACCATCAATAATTTACCTCATAAACTGGCAGTGGTTCTGGTGAAGTTTCAGTTGTCTCCAATGAAATATTCACAGGAATTGATAAATTTGAAGTCTTTCTCCGTCGTTTGCATTTCACCAGTAAGGCAATAAGCACCAAGCAAAGAAGTAGAGCGGCACCAACTGTTATCGCTATAATTACTGTGCGAGAATCATCAGATGTTGCATTGTCTGAACAAAAATAGTATATTTATTTGCATGGGATAAATTGACTCCAAACTAATAATTTGAGTAACAAGTACCAAAAGTAATTGTTGAAAAGTGTTGTTTATAGAAACTTCGAGTGTATGTTTTATTCATTTATTAGATCTAACCAGAAGCATTTGCGAATCCATCTGATAAGAATAAAATTTGCGGCCCTTTGATTCCGGTGAAGCGCTCTATTCAACTGAGTTATAGAGTCCATGCAGTTGTCGAGCTCAGATCGCAAGTTCATTTATACCCTCGTCGTTTGATCTAATAAATGCATAAAATTTTCTATCGATATTAGTTGTAACGAGCGAAATGCCCTCAAAACCCTGATATAAATTAGTAAAGCTATTTAATCCTACTTCTGAAGGTTGAGAACTGGGTTTTATTGCTTCTCCAACATCGGTTATGTTTGAAGTGTGTATTACAATATGTTTCGACCTCCCCCACCTTTCACTATGCAGGCTGTATAAAGAAACTGAACAGATATGAAATTGCTCTCAATTTCGTAAAACAGCTATTATGCTTAATTAATGGATTTGTTTTATTATACTTAATTAATGCATCTGTGTTATTTAACAATTATTCGCCGAAGGCGAGGTGAATATCGCTGAATAAAAACCGAGACGAAGTCGAGGTTTTTATTCAGCGATATTCACCGAGCCTGAGGCGAATAATTGTTTTAGTATAATTACAAAGGTGATTATTTGAAAAGAATAATATAACACATCTCAATAAAGAAAGCGGTATGCGCAATGAAGGCGCTCGTATCGCCATCAAGGATGTTTCTTGTAGTAATTCCTATCACTTTTTCTTACAGAAAGGTATAAAATTTTGATAAAAATTCGGTTCATTTCGTCAATACTCATATATCTTCAAACTCATTTGTGAATTCTGACTGTTGTTGAAACCAATCTGTAGAAAATATATTTTTACAAACGTAAACAAATGTCTAGACAATTGTACGGCAATTAAAATAAAACGATGTTTTATGCGAAATAAAGTTAAGCAGATTTCTGCAAATTAGTTTCCTACCTCGAAATAATTTTAAGCCAAATTTTGTCTCTTCTTTCGTGCTCTTAGGCACAGCATTTTCTTTAAAATTACTTATTTCTTTATCTGTCACTTTGGCAAAACAACTCGCCGCCATTTTGAAAAAAACCGCTTAGGTGATTATCGCGTAATAATCCGAGGTCGCTTGACCAATCAGCGGCCACAATTTTCGATAATCACCTTTGTAATTATACTAATATTAATTAATGCATTTGCCTAATTTGCATATGTCGTAATATGCAAATTATGTAAAGGCATTAATTAATAATTTATAATAATTTATAATTTATTGATTTATATTGCGCAATTATCAATCTTGCAATTTTCAAATGCGCATTACAAAGTTTAAAAAATGACAGTATATCTAAATATGTTACATATCAAATATCGATCTATATAAAATAAGCAACTATTCAAAAGCTTGACGGAATAAAAATGTCTTAATAGACTGTTTAAAAATATTTAAGGATGAGCAACTTCTAATATGATATGGCAAAGTGTTCCACAGTGCAGGAGCTGCCATGCAAAATGCTCTAGTCTTTAGTGATTTCCCTAACGGAACACTTAATAACATAGTGTTGCTTGATCGGAGACTATATCTTGTAGACCACTTGAGGCTAATTAGGTTACTTATATAATCTGGAGCAATTTTGTGAATAGCCTTAAACGTTTGTAAGAGAATTTTAAAGTCAATACGGTTTTTGACTGGGAGCCAGTGCTTACTTCGTAACAATGGTGTAATTCGGCAAAATTTTGATTCTTGGAACACGAGACGTGCAGCGGCATTTTGCACCCTCTGTAGCTTGCTTAATTGGGAATTCGGCAATCCATACAATAAGCTGTTGCAGTAATCTAAGCGACTTGATATAAAAGCATTAGGCCGTTAGCTGTGTGGGCAAAATGTGGTTAGAAATCAAATTCCGTCGCCCCCATCGCGGTGCTAAAAATGTTTAAAAGGAATTAGGAGATTAAACTATGCTGATTTCAAATATTTTTGTTCCCACGCGCCAAAACCCGCTGTTTTTTCACAATGTAAGGCCAAAGTTTGATATTTTCATCCGCTAACCGCCATCTTGAATTCCGCGGTATGTTTGATCTTTTAACATTATTACTTGAAGTATTAAAAGTAACGTGGGCTCATAAACAATCAAATTCATAAATATGGCTAGCAAAACTGTCTTTGCTTGGGAATTTTGTATACATTTTGAAGGTAAATCTGTCGAATTGTGTCACTTAACATCTCACACAAGTTAATACAACTGATAAAATCTAAAAATATTGTGAAAAGTCGGTTAATTTGAGACTCAAATCGCGACAAATGTTGCACAACGTATCAAACATTCAAACATTGGTCAAATACTTTACTTTAATATTGTACACTATTAATTTAAATACCTTATACCTACATTTGTCATTTATAGTATACAGCTGTTACACTAGCGGTATTCGACGGAAAATAAATTAATTAATAACAAAATAAACTAAAACGTGTTTACTTAAACTGATATCAACACAATGTCAATGAAATATAATAAATACTATTTGATTATATAAGTTTTGCATTTCTACAATAGGATAGCACAAATTTCAGCTGTGTTGCATCGCGGTGTTGTGCTATACAATACTACAAGTTTTCTTCCTCCATATCACTACCCAGATCATCTTCTGAATCATCTTCAAGGCTACCGCTTTCGCTGGACTCGTGTGGACAATTTGTGCATCCAACACACTGGCACATTTCATTACACTGGTTGTTGGCCTTTTTACAGGAGCATCTTAGGGTTGAACAACCGGTGTTACATTTGCAGTTGCAATCTTTGAGCAGTACATCAGGAGCACATTTCTTTGTCATCCACACCACATCAATATTTCCTTCTTCATCAATCTTCCATCCATGATCAATTGGTAAAGGCGCGTCAATTGTTGGAGTTGTTGCTCTTTTCCATATTGCGGCCTGGTAATTTGCTCGCTGGATGTGTTGTACAAGACAATCCTCATTTGGAGGCAATGCTGCATCAGAGAATTTACCCATCCTAAACATGTCATATCTTGCTTTATTGACAGATGTGGTATCCTTAGCCCCATATAGCATGCATGTAAGTGACTCGAGGTTTTCCTGAATGGATTCATCAACGTCAAAGTCCTCACCAAGACGCACAAATGTGTCGAGAGCTGTTTCGTCATTTGAAACTAATTTCCAGGTTGATATCTTACTTCGACCATAAAATGATCTCGTAGAATCACACCCTAGAAATGGTAAAGGAACTAAAATTGATCCAGTGATGCACAAGCTGTTGCGTTCTTACAAACTACATGTG